AAAAAAATCAATAAAGTTTGTTTATAAAAAGAATTACTGATTCTAGTGACCTTAAAGGAACTGCTGGTCTGCCTGACCCAAGAGTAGAGATTCAGTTTTAGCTTTTGCCACTTACAGGCTTTCCGGTATCATGTGTTCTACTGGGAACAATTCTTGAGTCCTGACACATCATAAGTCAAATTTATAGCCAAGACATGGGAGTTTGTGTTTGTTTCCTTGAGATTTAGAAAAGGCATGTCTGATTTTGCAAAACAGGAAAGAGAAATTCACTGGTTACAAAAAATAGCAATAGCACTTGGACTTATACACCACTTTATAGTGCTTTACAGTACTCTCTGAACAGTTTACAATGTCAGCATATTGCCACCAACAATTTGGGTCCTCATTTTACCAATCTCGGAAAGATGGAAGGCTGAGTCAATCTTGAATCAGTCAGGATTGAACTCCAGGCAGTGGGAAGAGTTAGCCTGCAATACTGCATTCTAACCACTGCGCCACCACGGCTCATAAAAATATTGTAAATAAAATCAGTATGCTTTTTTTTGTACATAGAGTAGCTCCGAAACCATACAGCAAGACAAAGTGCAAAGGAGCTAGCACAGGAATATTGTCTGAAAAATCAGAACAATTTTATGGAGTAGGCTTTTGTTTTGCAAAAATCATCTGTCCTGGAAATTTTCACTCAACATTAAATGAAAATAAACAAACTGCTTGCCAGTGTGTCACAATGCAAATCCCAGGATGGGTAAAGGATGCCCACTTTCAATGCAATTCCAAGCTAGCCAGACTTTGGGAAGCTTTTTGGAACTGAATTGGCTCTGTTGTTTGTGGCCAGAATCCTACTGCCTCTCTGAGAATATTCTCAGATGCAGTACAAAGCAACCATTTTAAGTTTTCCTAACAGAGTTCAGCCTTAGGAATGTCTTACTGACCTGTGCTCCATCTGCTTCTGTTTTCAAAAGATCGGAGGAAAGTTGGTTACAATAAAGTCCGGTGGGTCTAAGAGCTGGGTCGTTTACCTGAAAACAGCATCAACAAGACACAAGATGAGAAATTAGAAATTGTTTAATAAGCTTGTCACAGGAGAAAGGAGATAAATGAAAACTCAAAATCAAAGGGAGCTGCAGGCATCATCTCAGGTGACCAATTCACTACAAACATCTGTCTTCCCTGGCTTGAGGAAAAGCTTTGCATGGGGTATCTGGACAGAAAAAGCAAGTTAGCCCAGTGCTTGATAATTCAATGAAAACAGTATTTCTTGATCAGGCTTGTTCCAAATGGTTCCTGTTTTAAATACCATCAGCTCCTCAGCTCTCAGCTTACTCATGTATTTATTATTGTGATTTTATGCCCCATCAAACTGGCCAACTCTAAGCAGCTTACAAAAACTGTCAAAATACGCAAAATAGTGGAGAGGAAACAACCTGGAGGTCTTTAGAATAATAGAATCAGAAGGCTGGAGGGGACCTTGGAAATCTTCAAGTCCAACTCTTTTCCAAGGCAGGAGTCCTTTGTCTTTAAAAGCATTTTGGCTCATCTATTTATTTATTATTAAATTTATATGCTGTCCATGTCACTGTTTGAAGTGATTTTAGGCAGTTAAACAACTTAGTGGGGGTTAAACAACTTAAGCATGGCTCACTGCTGTTTATAGGCATATGCGGAATATGGAAGGGAAGCACAACCTGAGTAAATCTGCTGGGCAGATTATACCTTTGCTTTACAAGCTTGACAAAGACTAAGAGCACCTTAAATCTTCAAATGTGAACTCTGAATTCCTAATGTATAAACTAAGCTTTTTTTTTTTTTTTTTACCCTCAGCTTAGATTTAAGATATGCTTTGAGGCAAAACCTGCAAAACCTTAGAACATTTACATTCATGTCATGTCATGTCATCTTGAAATCTACTAAATTCTTCAGCAGAACTGGATCTGCTATCTTGAACTTCAAAAAACTTTACAGTAAGGAATAGGAGACAGCAAGGGGTAGAAGTGTACAAGGGTCAGATTTCCAAGGCTAAAAACCAGTATATGCTAATTATACCATTCCAGACAAGTGGCTGTCCAGTCTCTTCTTAAAAGCCTCTAGTGATGGAGCATCCACAACTTTTGAAGGCAAGCAATTCCACTGGTTGATTGTTTTCACTGTTAGGAAATTTCTCCTTAGTTCTAAGTTGCTTCTCTCTTGATTAGTTTCCATCCATTCTGGTGCTTTAGAAAATAGGTTGACCCCCTCCTCTTTGTGGCAGCCTCTCAAATATTGAACACTGCTATCATGTCATCCCTAATCCTTCTTTTCACTAGAATAGATAAGCCCAATTCCTGCAACCGTTCTTCATATGTTTTAGCCACCAGCCCCCTAATCATCTTTGTTGCTCTTTTCTGCTCTTTTTCTTTCCAGAGTTTCTACATCTTTTTTAAAATTGATGACGAAAACTAGATGTAGCATTCCAAGTGTGGTCTTACTAAGGGCTAATATTTTGAGACGACTCTTTGGCTAAGTCCACAGGAGAGGAAAGGAGACACATCTGGATACACTGACCTGCTCAGAACATAGCTGGTTCATGCCAGGCATCTGCAATGAGTTCATTGGCATTTGCCCAGCCATTGGATTCATATTTTGGGCACTGGCATTTCCTCCAGCCATGGAGACTGTGATGCTCATGTTGTTATACATTCCCTGTTGAGCTGAGGAGGGCTGAGTCTGCCCAGCCTGGCCGTATACACTGCATTTGAAAGAATGAGGAACAGGAATTACATACTGGGATAGGTTTCTTTCGAAACCAGCTTAATTTCAAAAACATGTTAAATTGTACAGCAGACAAATTACATATTATTCTCAATCCTTCTGCACCAGTTCAGAAGAGCAAAACTAGCCGGTCCATCCAAAACAGATTTGCTATGATCTATCTGAAATGATGATTTCAAATGTTTTCCTACCTTGAATAAATAATTTTGAAAAAGAAGACAGGAAAATCATTTGTGAATGATATGACACCATCTAGAAAATGTTAATAACAGTAATCTGACCAGTCCAGCCTAAAAATATTTGAAGGAATACCAGGAAACCAATAATAAAGTGGATCTAAGTATAGTTGATTACAGGTTTCAAGGATTGTCAACTGTGTACTCTGAGGAATGGAGCATCAAGGTAGTTCATCACCTTCATCATCCTCACTGCAAATTCTAAGTTGTCTAACTATTGAGCAGGCAGGGGTGTCTGGTCAAAAGATATCAAAAAAGTTGGTATTAAAGGTTAAACTACGAGCATCTGCATTTGAGAATTAGGCTTACGTGTTGTTCCCCATAGTTCCTTGCTGCCAGGTCTTCATATCAGGTGACTGATACCCAGGTGTGGGTGGGGCAGACTGCAGCATGGGGCTCTGAGATGGAGGGATCTGAGGGGACATCAAGGGACTACTAGGACTGAGTGATGGGGCAAAAGGTGCTTCACCTTGCTGACCCATTCCTGAAATGAAACAACAACAAAAGGTAACTGGGTTAATTCACAGGACGATGACAACCACAATATTTTATGCCGTAAACTTCATTTATTCAAATCAGTGTTGGATTAGAATTGAAGCTTGAAACACAAGTAGCTACCCATTAACAATAACAAGAGGTTGAGAGGCGCAAGCATTCTGGAGTGGGGTGGAGATGGTGAAGATATTCATTTAAATCACAAGTATGCAACTTTTTAGACAAAGAGCTCTATTTTCACTTTTGAGAGATTTGTCAGCTTTAATTAAATGTAATTAATTAAATGTACTTTCATGTAAGCCAAATTAAATAAAATTCATAAGATTTTATATTTCTCCCTTGTGTTCCATTTAAGATGACAATATGCTGCAGGTTTTGGAATACGTTGCAGGTTTTGGAGTGGCTATGGGTATCACACACAAGGATTTGGGGATCTACAGGAGCCGTGGTGGCGCAGTGGTTAGAATGCAGTATTGCAGGCTAATTCTGTTCACTGCCAGCAGTTCGATCCTGACTGGCTCAAGGTTGTCTCAGCCTTCTGTCCTCCTGAGGTTGATAAAATGAGGGCCCAGATTGTTGGGGGCAATATGCTGACTCTGTAAACCACTTAAAGAGGGCTGTAAAGCAGCCATGCTGGCTGAAGAATTCTGGGAGTTGGAGTCCACAAGTCATAAAGTGGCCAAGGTTGGAGACCCCTGCTGTAAAGCACTGTGAAGTGGTATATAAGTCTAAGTGCTATTGCTAGATGTAGCTTCAAGTTATACATCTCCATTTCAGAATTCAGTATCGCTTCTCATCTAATGGGTTCTGCAGGACTGTCAAGTACTACACATACCCTAAGTGTGTTTCACAAGAGACTACAGGGAACAAGCAGATACTATTATGCCTCTCTTTTAAATCATTTTTAACTTTCTGGAAAAACACCTCTATGTTTACCCAGAAGCCTCTGAACATGTCCGAATCCTCACATTCTGAAATTGTGTCAACTAACTGAAGTATCACCTTTCCCAACATTCAGCAAGTCACAACGGAGCAAACTTTCCTTAAAAGATACAGACTGAGACACACCTGATCCGGAATACTGGAATATGTTCTGTTGCATCTGTGGGTTCATATTAGAGCCAAACTGTCCTCCGACGCTTCCCATCATCCCCCTGTTCACCATGTTGCTACGATTGGCCAATGCCACTTCGGGGTTTGGTGCCAGCTGGGAGAAAGGGCTGGTGGATGTAGGGGGGTTTCCAGGATTCGTACCATAGTTGGGGGGGAAAGGGAATTGCTGTGGGGGACCCTGGGGAAGGCGCCCAGCTGTCAGCTGCACCGGAACCCCAGCTGAGGGAGGAAGATTGCTCCCAAAGCTTTGCTGCTGTCTCATCAGCATGGCTCTCTGCTGCATGAGTTGCCTCTGTCGATGCTGCTGGCTGTAAAGTTCACGATGACGCTGAGCCAACATCTGTGCATTCAGAGGGGGCTGAAGAGGAAGAAGAAAACACAATAGTGGTGGTATTCAGGTGAAAAGCCACCTCCTCAAAAGGTTGGACATATCAAGTGTTTTTGTTAAGGAGCTTTCACAAAGCTCTCACTATTCACATTCCTCAATACTCTGTTTTCCACCATTTCTCACACCTCTTTATGCAAAAGTGCAGAGAAAGGGGAACCAATAGTAGCAATGTAGTACCTATTAGTTTGTATGTACAAGCATAAAACTGCTGCACAGAATCATCAAAACAGCTCAACTAAGTGAGTCAAACAACAGAAGTATACATATTATTCCATGGCTATTTTTCTTATTCACAATCACTTACTCATTCATGCACTGTTTAAAACCACTTAATTACCTGGATTTTGCCATAACAGAATAGGAATGGTCGTTAAACACTATGGTTAAATGGAGGTTCCAGGTATGGAGATAATATACTTGTGTGCAGGACGTGGAATATGGGAACTGCAATTGCTATTATGCTCTGCTCAAGGACACTTATGAAAAGCTCCTTTATTATATCATTAGGCTTGTTATAAGCATGGGATTTTATCATTTAACTATGTACCCATAGAGATTTAATATATTATAGATCTCATCAACTCCTTAGGGAGATTAGAAAATATAAATCAATGATATCTGGAAACATAGCAAGAATAATAGACCCAAGCCATTAATCAACTCCTCTCATTATTGAAGGAGAAGGAACATAGTTCTTCTCTGGTAAAGACAAAAGAATATGAACAATGATCTTCTGGTCTGTCATTTGACATCCCTGACCCCAGGAGGGGTCTCTCCTTTTCCAGTTATAATCTAAAGCAGGGGTTCTCAACCTTGGCAACTTTAAGACTTGTGGACTTCAACTCCCAGAATTCCTCAGTCAGCAAAGCTGGCTGAGGAATTCTGGGAATTGAAGTCCACAAGTCTTAAAGTTCCCAAGGTTAAGAACCCCTGATCTAAAGAATTCCAGCTTTCCGATTTTTAGTGCAGTTGTTAGCTTGAAAAAAAGAGGGAGTGGAGAAGCATCAGCTGTTCCTACTTCTGCTTGTCTAGAAGAACAGCTCTTTTGGTCTCTATCACTATGCTCATTCATTCTTTTATAATCCAATAGTTTATTGCTCTCAAGACTGTCTCTTCTCCATACAGCTTGTTTTGAAAATCTATGTTTGTGATCTAGCCAGGTGCTCTCCATCTATGTCCACAACAGCTATGTTGACTAGGGACAAGAGAGTACAGGTAGTCCTCCACCTATGACCACAACTGACCCCAAAATTTATGTTGCTGAGCGAGACATTTGTTAAGTGAGTTTTGCCCCATTTGATGACCTTTCTTGCCACAGTTGTTAAGTCAATCACTGCAGTTGTTAAGTTAGTAACACAATTGTTAAGTGAATCTGGCTTCCCCTTTGACTTTGCAAAAGGGGATTACATAATTTTGGGACACAGCAAGGTCATAAATATGAACCAGTTGCCAAGCATTTGAATTTTGATCACATGATCATGGGGAATGCCACAATAGTCATAAGTGTGAAAAAATGGTCATAAGTCACTTTTTCCAGTGCTGATGTAACTTTGAATGGTCACCAAATGAACTGTTGTAAATCAAGGACTTCCTGTAATCCAACACAAGAGGTGGGATGGGACTGTCAAGTTGCAGAAGTGTGTCCTAAACTTTGCTAACAAGGACTCTGGGCTAGGATGTTGACACCTATCTATCTATCTATCTATCTATCTATCTATCTATCTATCTATCTATCTATCTATCTATCTATCTATCTATCTATCTATCAATCATCTATCTATCTATCTATCTATCTATCTATCTATCTATCTATCTATCTATCTATCTATCTATCTATCTATCTATAGGGAGTTCAGACAGATCGGTCTGATTGTGAACACCTTGACATTTTCAACTGCCATACTGCAGTTTTACTCTTTTTACAGTATCTCTTGCCTTGCCGCCCCCAACTAGGGGCATAGAGCAGGCTCAAGTTGCAACTGCGAAATATTTTTATATCCAAATTTCTTTTTTCTGACAAAGAGTAAAGAATTAAATTGGGAGACTAAGATGGACCATTTCTGGCTTTTTTGCCTTCATCAGTTAGCCATACCCTTTATGGGATTCGAACCTGGAAAGTTATACATACTAGGCAGTGATTTAGCCACTGAGCCACAGGTTCTCTTCCCCTCTTTGCCAGCAGAGTCAAGGGA